ACCACCATCATCCACACCACCACCATCATCCACACCAACACCATCATCCACACCACCACCATCATCCACACCACCACCATCATCCACACCACCACCACCATCCACACCACCACCATCATCCACACCACCACCACCATCCACACCACCACCATCATCCACACAACCACCATCATCCACACAACCACCTTCATCATCATCATTGTCTTTCTATTTCGTTATCTATTTTATGAGGGTAACATTAATTGACCTCACAGTTATCTATAACTTATGGCCCTTTAGAAAATGATAATATGGGGAAAAAGCTATGTGGTAACAATAAAGGAAACAAAATTAATTGAAAATTGACATAAAAAAGAGCATAATAATTACCAAGTAGTATATATGGTTATTGATTTGAATATGAAATGTGGTAAAACCACAAAAATTCTTTTTAGTCTGAAATCGCTCTAGTCTCCTACGTAGCTGCCCATTTCGGATCTCGGACTGATGACGTTTTTTGAAATAGGTGAAAGCGTGTAATGCATTTAAGTTCAATGTATAYATAGCATGAGCAGAACAGGTCTTCAACGTGTGTGACAAATGCGTAGCTGACGTTTGATAGAARAGGAACATCGAAGACATTAATCATTGGTAGGTTGAGAGGCCGAAAGAGTTTGCTTTAGATCAGAATATAAAGAATCAAAAAGGATACTGAGAAGCAGAATATTKAAAGCGTCTTAGATCACTTTTCGTGCGAGCTTTAGGACATGGAGTTCAGTATAAGCCTTTTCATAGTTTAAGAATCGATTCCACTGCGCATGCGATTTTCTCCCGAATTTCTCACCTTTTGTTTAATTAAGAACAAAACAAGGTTTAGACAAAAGAAGGTGAGAAATTCGGGATAGAATCGCATGCGCAGTAGAATCGATTCTTTAACTATGAAAAGGGAAAAAGCTATATGTGGTAACAATTTTTATTTAAAAGAAAAATTCGATCTCACCACTGTAAAGAATATAATCAACTTTTAAATACATCTCTAAGTAGGCAGGCCCCTATACTGCATACGCGACTGCGTCTTCGACAGTCTGCTTTGAATTCATATCTGTTTAAAATCGCATGTAAGCCCTCTCCTCTTTATGAATGTAATGATGGTTCAGTTGAATCAGCTTGCCACTATTTCTTACACTGCTCTCGATATGCAGCTCATCGTACAGCCCTTTTGTCAGTTTCCGCACAGCTTTTTGTAAACGATACCACCGATAAACAAAAGGTTGATTACTTTTTGAACGGATGTCCCAATTGAACTGTTTCTAATAATCTTAAATTGTTTCTAGAAGTGCAAAAATATATCATCCATACAAAAAGGTTTACGAAAGATTAATTATACATTTACAAGAAAAATTCTTTATAATCTCACTACATGTACTATATTGCTATAACATAATTCACAATTTATATCATTGTTTAAAACTTGTAATTATTGTAACTTTGTTTAACTTTACCTGTATCCTAATTAATTTGTTAGCATAGTTTTTTTTTTTTGTTAGTTAGTTTTGTGTGTGTGTGTGTTTGTACTCCACATCCAAATGTGTAAATCTTTTATTAAGTGAACTCCCTAGATGAGCTCGAATGAGAGCTCTTGGAGCAAACTTAAAGAATTTATATGTTTAAATAAATAAAAAAAAAAAAAATTTCGTGTGTGGCGGTTGCAGTTTGTCTGTCTTTCATCGCGAATGAAAGAGAAAGAAGCTTTGGAATTTACAGGTGCAAGAAGGCTCAATATATAATAACAATAAACTCTTTATTTAAAGAGGGTAGCACGGAATAGTTGCAAAATGACTAATAAACTAGTGGCCCTCTATCTATAAGACTAATACAGATAAAACATACCATAGATATAAAAACTAATATATATACATGCACTTAAGGTGGCTCCACTGGGTTTTATCCGCGCGATACCATGCAACTTCAAATCGCAAATACTCGGAAGCAAACAATCCAATGCTATAAATTTTTTTAGAGGTTTCAAAGAAAAGATGAAATTTTCGAATGAGCATGTTTTTACTGAAATCGGAATTAATGCAAGATTACTGTTAAGCGTTGGTGCGTTTACTTCATTGCCTATTTTCTCCATTTTTTGACCTAGGATTTTAAATTGCTTTTGAGATATTGGAGGATAAATAATTTGCTCAAGGTACAGAAAATTTGAAGAAAATCTGTATGAGCATTTTCGAGAAATTTCATATCGAAGTTTTAAAGTATGAAAAATTTGCAAAAACAAAACATGTTAGTAACTTTGTGGAAAAGTGATTTTCTTTAGCCCTTGTTTATTTGATTTTTCATCGCTATTGTCCTCTTTTATCGCATTCGCGTAAATTCCTCGTAATATACCTTACCTCGTAATATACCTTAACAAAATGGACTTTGACATTTGGTATATAACAACGTTAATTACTGATTATAATTTTATCTTAGGTAGCCTAAAGTAAGGAATCTAGAATTCTGTTTTAGGCCTATCTCAGATTCATTAGATTCATGAAACTGTACTCGAATGATTCTTGGAGGGGAAAAAAATAAGTGAACGATAAATGAGGTTACATGATCTGGGGTCTTGCATTTTGTGACACAGGAGATAGATGGAGAAACGGAACCTATTTTAAGAATGGTTTGTCACACAACTTGAATAAAACAGAAGGACGATCCCTAGCCTCTTGTCGTTAATGCTTCGCACCGACGACACAGTATTCTTATCGCATAACCCTTGGACCAATTCCGAACTGGCATCGAGGGAAACAGTGTGTTTTGTGG